ATAAAGAAGCATACTGAAAATCTATCAAGATTGATACTTTGCTCACGTATGGCAGACACCATATGTATGGTTTTAGCTTTAACCAAAAGTGTTCTACATTTACGCTTTGGATAATAAAAGAAACAAAAATCCCGCTTATTGTTGACTCTGGCTCTGCTGAATGCATAATTTTCTTAAAATTGCTCAAAGACTTAGATATGATGATCACACAAGCACCTAAAACTATAATGGTCAATGTTAATAAAGAAAAAAGAAGACCATTAGGAGCAGTGACTGGAATTCCTTTGAAGATCGCTGGTCATGTGGTTCCCTTTGATGCTATTGTAACCGAAGCTGACTTTTATGCATAACCTAACCTTTAAATGCAATGTCTAACCTTATCCTTTTTTCACCAGCAGCATTATAAGAATAATTGTAAAAGATTATTTAAAGAATAAATATTTAATTATTTAGTATTAAATTTAATTTGACTGTAAAACAAAGATGACAAAGGAAAATAATTCAACGATCATTACTATAATTGAAGACAATATATTTCCATAGATTTCATGTAATTTATCTAAAAAAAAAAAATTAATAATAATAATAATTAAATATTAGATGTCTCCATAAATTGGTTAGATGTTTTAAATTTTATTTCCTACGCGATATTATTGGTATGCAAAGTAAGATAAGAAAATAATATCTTTTTGTATCATAGATAAGAGAATACTGAAAAGCTTGCTTAACCTATAAGTAGAAATTTTATTATTTTATACTTTTTGTGTTGGTCAACAAAATCAATTTTTGTTTGTTCAGTTTTCTAGATAGGCTTGGACATTTTCGATTTTCTTATATAATATACTTTGATGCTTTATGCTTTATGTATCATTATGCTTATATATGAATGAAGGTTCAACTTATATCTTTGTTTTATTTGCTTACTTGAAAAAGAACTTTTGAATTAAAATATTATCCTACCTAATCTACTACTATAGCTTAGAAATGAAAAGGCCTTCGATCAAACGATCGCTTCGAAAGACCTTTTTCTTCAAGTCAGATCTTTTGCGCAGTCTTTTTTTTTGTAGGAATGGTTTCAATGGTTTAAAATCCTTGGGCTGGATCCATAAAAGGTTTTATTTATTTATTTAATTTTTTCTTTTGACGAATAGAAGTGACTTCGATTTATATGATTAAAAAATAAAATTTAACCATTAATTTCAAAAAAAAAATTTTTGTAGTGTCTTCACTTCTACTGCAAATGTCAATTTGATCATGATAAAATTATATTGATACGTCTAGAATAAACAAAAGTTTCTTACATTTTAAATTATACTTTACAAACATAAAGAAATTAAAGAAATTTTAAATTTTAAATAATTTATCCTTACCTTTTTTTTTTTTTAAAAAAAAAAAAAGTTATTACTACTATTATTTTATTTCAATAAGCCCAGTTTCAGATTCTGATATATATGAACTGCATCCTTCTCTAATAACTCTACGATTAGTACTTTAAACTAGGGATTGGAATCGATTCTAGCAAAATCAAAAATTGAATTAGAATCGATTAATAGAAAAATTGAATCTATTTTTAGTGGAGCAATGTGTGTAGTTTGAACGATTTACCACCAAAGCAATGCTTTAAGGTATTGTTAACTTAATTAGATTTGAGAAAAAATAATAACGGTATGATCAATAAAAAATGAATAAATTGAAAAAGTCTAACCTACAAAATGAAGAAACCTATAAAATAAAAAGATCAAAAAAATAACAACGGAATGATTACCTAATCCTTTTGAAGAGAAAAATCTTGAGAAAAAAAAGAATGATAAACCAAATGAAAAAAATAACCATAATTCTAAACAAAAAAATACAAACTGCATATATCCGAAACAATCCAATCCAAAGAGAAACTTAATTATAATTTTTTAAAAATATTCATTCGATCTCTGCGAATTCAAAAAAAAAATAAAAAATAAAAAAAGAATGCCAAAATTGCTACGCCATAAAGAATGAACCAATTAGATTTACCTGCTTTTGAAGTATATGATATCGTAAAATGTAAAATTTAAGAAAATGTAACTATTTTGATAAATAATAATTATTTTCTTGAAATGATTTAATTAATTATTTTTTTCTTTTGAATAAAATGTTTTTGCATACAATTTGTGATTAAAAAAATCACTACGCCATAAATAAAATCGATTCGAATCGATTAATCAAAACCGAAAATCGAAACTCGAGAAACGATTAATCGATTCTAAAATCGAAAATACATGTTTGAGTCTATTCCAATCCCTACTTTAGACAGCACAATTTCTTATTTGATCTATAAATTGTATCTGAAAATCTCTCTGCAAATACAATAATAAGTATCAATTACATATGACAACTTAATTTTTCATGTCCTTTAATAAATAAATTAGATTCCGGTATTGATTTGGAACGAGGATGGGATTTAGGAGTTTTAGTCTTTCGACTATTGACAAATTAGTATTTCTTCGGTCGTCTATTTTTGGAATAATTAATTAGTTAAATTTCAAATGAGCCGTAAAAGACAAATTTATGTGTATATTTTGTTATTATCAAGAGAATTTATATGCTAGTAAAGAACGTTATCGACAAACCTCGTTTCAGTCGTTAAAGATATCAATACTTCTGTTACGCCAGTTTCTTAACCGTCAAGCTCAAGCTTAGAAAAAATGAAGATTATCAGTTTCGTCAAAGAACCAACTCTACTAAAACTGCGTGTTCTAAACCATGTGGTTTTTTCTAATTATTGCTTATACCTAATATAATATTCGTTAAAACAATGTGAATATATAAAGAATCCCCCGAGTTAATTACCTTTACACAATTATCCAATTCAGCTGAAGTTTTCTTCTGCCTTTTCACGGGCTTTGCGATCGATTTCTGATTAAGCTTTAGCTTCAGTAGCAACTTCTTCTTTTCGCTCTAATTCAAGAGCTTCATTTTTCTTTTTCTCAGCATTTTAACTTTGATATGTTCAACACCATCTCGTTCATTTTTTTTTTGGGCTTGCCTTTCGGCACCTTCCTGATTGCGTCTTTCAGATTCCTGTTTTAACGGCAGGTACCCTGTTCTCTATCTTCTGAAATCGTTAGGAAAATAATAGTATTTAATTGACACATCAATATTTTGAAACTTTGCCAATTGCAAATCTTCTATAATTTTAAAAATCAACAAAAGAAAACGAAAAATTACTTAAGTAATATCATTTTCTTTGTAAGATAAATCATTCTCATTATTGCATTGATCGTACTTAAAAGATTTCTACATTTCGTCTATATAAATATTTTCAAAATTGTCATTCATATCGCTGGTTTCTATTTGAACGATATCTTCTCAAATATATTTTTTTTTTCATCCTCACATTAATCATTTTGGCGACGTCAAAAAAATTGAAAAAAATATCTATAATGACAAGCGATTAATATTAAATCCTTTTGAAGTTAGTTATTTTATAAAATGCTTTAAGGTTTAGAAATAAAAAAAAATTCGCCTACATTATACTAAAGATCGATCGATTAGACTAGCCTGGTTTAGAAGTCTATATGATACGTACCTCCAGTTCATTCATAACCAAACGCTCATTTTAGATCCTTCGGCTAAATTGCCAACAACGTCGTTGTTTAAAGAATTTACGGAACCTTTAAATATGGCGCAATTTAACATAGGTCTTCTTCGACATCTTCAGCTCAGGTTAATATCTATACAGACAGTGCTTCAACCATCCACAGCTTTGGGTAAATAAATAGTTGTATGTACGTTATACTATAAAGTATTGAATAAAATCAAACAAAAGGTATTAATTACGAAGGAACGCGTACTTTTTCAATGAAATAAAATAATTTAGTATTACGAGGAGATTAGTTATTACGCGTTGTGTGAGAGAGGTCATTATTAATTGTACTGTTCACCTGAGTATTTGACTTTTTCTTCAAAAAATTTGGTTGAGTGTATTGTTTATGAATTAAAAGTGTCGCTTTACATAAACTTTTCAAGGAAGAAAAGAAAGTTAATAAAAATAATCTATTTTCAAGTATTATATACCGTTTTAAGAGTACATTTCGAAAAATTCACAGACAGAAAATGCAAAAAAATTACATTAATTCATGACAATATAAAGAAAATAAAGTACTAAGCAGTTTCTTCTCGGAAAACTTCAGCAAACGGAAGAAACGGCAACCTTCTTATTATAAAGAATATAATATCAGGAAATTTTTTGGTAGAATTTTATCAGAAGAGAATTCTGGTTCAAAAAACCTGGAATTTTTGAAATTACCCAGAAAATTCTTCGATCACGTGATCCAAAATTATTTATCACCCTTCGCGTTTTCCAGTTTTCATAAAAGGGTTTAGGGATTATGCATAATGCGGGCCAATAATCACGTGTACGCAGAATTTTTCTGGGTGCTCTTGGGGTAGTTACAGTAATTTTTGACGTTAATAACGTATTTATGGATCGGCATTGATTTTGTCCGATGAACCCGGAAAGTAATTTACGAATAGGAATTAGTTAAAGATTACTTTGGTTGAAAATAAAGCGAATTCGTAAATAAATTAATTATCTTTGTTGTAAAGATGAAGTAAAAAGCATTTTACAAACAGTCATTATCCGTCAACGAGAAATTGTTATTATTTCTTGGGTAAGGCTTTATTGTTGAATCTACTTTCAGTCATTATCCATCAAAAGAGAAGTAGTTAATATTTCTCGGGTAAGGCTATAAAAAAATCAGTTGACATTTACGAATAATCTACTTTCAAGTCATTATCTATCAAAGAAGAAATTTTAATATTTCTTGGATAAGGCTTTGTTGTTATAAACCAGTTGACACTTATATTCGTTCGTTAGTAACTGACGAATATTATATATATAAAAACGTTGGGTATCCAAAACTGAGTCATTTTATCATAAAAAGGATAATGAGTGGTTTTAACACAACATTATTATAGTGATTGACTCTTTAATGGCGAAAACCATGGTGGATTTTTAAAACATGTCGAACATCGACAAGAGCATACCCGAAAGATGGCGAACTATGCTTGAATCCAGGGCCGATTACCGAACTGGATCAAGAGAAAAATTATGTCATAGGCCGGATACCTTAGAGTTACGGATTAAGCTTCGTCCTCTTACCGTCCGCTGCATTCGAGAGCAATTTCCATGCCTTAAACTTAGTGATCCGATCAACTTTACTGGAGATCTGATATTATAAGCTTGGGCAGCACCATTTGCAGATTGTTTTCGATGTGAAACGCGCAACTTCTGTTAATTTCTCCCAGCAAAAATGGAAAACGGGTTATATTAGCGATAATGACATTCTGGTTGAATATAAAAAAACATGATATCATTTGGAAGAGCACAGGAACCACTTCTGTCTGAACTCAAAAAGTACCGGCTTATTACCGTGGTGTTTTCTAATCAGCATTTTTAGCCAATTATTCGTACTTGTAAATAATCAGAAAACTGAGCTTTGCAATAAAAATAATTGGTTAAATTTTTAAGGAAATGCGTAACCTTTATGCATTTTTTCTTTTTAAAAACTTTACTCTAAAAAGTTTATTCAGCAAAAAGAATTTTAAACCTAAGGTTACTTCGGCCAGTCTTTGCCTCCCGTGCTGCCTTTGCAATTACAAGGGATAGTAATCCGAATTTCATTAATCCTGAGTGTTCCCAAGCAACTTTCCGGTGAAATTTGTTGAAAAGGCCCTTTCGATCACGAAGCTCGAAAAGATTCTAGAGATGCAGAGACATCCAGATGCTATTAAAATGATGTCATTTTTTCCTTATGGAGATGATGTGAGAGCTCTAGAGATGACCAACTGTCATGATACGCATAGCTACCAAAATAAACCTCCTGGATATTTATCTTCCCGATTATCAAAGTAGATCCAACATAAATATGTATGGTGAAGATAGAGAATCACGTCGGAATCATTATATTTCTAGTACTTCAGGGAATCATTATAACCAGTGATGTGCATTTTATGCTTCAAATAGTATAAATTTGATTGGAAGCTTCCAATAAATAGTATATAAAATTTGCTTGGAAGCTTCCAATAGTATAAAAATTGATTGGAAGCTTCCAAAAGTATAAAATTTGATTGGAAGCTTCCAATCCAAATGAATTATTAAAAATTTATGCTTCCAACCCTTCCAAAAGTGCTTCCAAGAGTGCTTCCAATCTTCCAAGTGCACATCACTGATTATACAGTAACTATCATGACGCAGTATCATTCTAACAATTACCATGAGAACAGAGGCTCTTCGCAATATATAATCGTGTAAATCCTGCTCGCGGCACAAGTGCAAATTCATACAATATTTCACAATCACTTTATGGTCAACATACCAAATTTTAGAGTTTTCGTTTGAAAATAGAATTTTTGAATATTTGTTTTTAATTAAATAAAATTCAAATATTCGAAAATACATAATCAATATCAATTTGGATATTATTAATCATAGAAAAAACATTTTATTCAGATAGGTTTTATTTAGTATTAATATTTTAAATTAAAATAACAATATAATTTTATATTATAAATGTGTTTAAAATTGTCAATTATTTAATTGCTAGTCCTATCCAGTTCTATATATTGTTTCATTTATTTTATTTTATTTAATTATTTAAAAAAATCAAAATTCAATTATTTTAATTAGGCAATTAAAGAAAATACAATATTTTAAAAATAAACAATTGAATTAAAAATAAAAAATAAAAATATTAATTCAAAAACAAATACATCCGTAAATTCATATTATTTAATTAAAAATATTGCGATTCAATTAAAAAAAATTCAATTAAATAAAATTCAATTAAATAAATTCAAAATTAAAAAAAATATTAATTTAAAAACAAAAATCATAGTTAATCATATGATCCGTAACGTGATTTTAATAGCTAACCTCCCATTTAATTAGAAAAAAATTCAATATTAAAAAAATAAATTAAAACATTCGCCAGTTAAATCAATTTAACAAAATTAAACAAATAAAATATGAAATAAATTACAAAAATAAAAAATAAAAAAAAAAATAATTTATATTATCAAATTAAAAATTAAATAAATTATTAAAAAAATTTAAATCTGAAATCAAAAAATTAAAAAATTAACGATAAACAATTAAATCAGAAATTAAATTTAAAGAAAAAATTAATTTATATTAAAAAAAAAATAATAAGAAATAAAACAAAATTGATTGAATTAAAAAATCCGAAATTAAAAAAATAACTGATTAGGTTGGTGTGCGACGACTTCGTCGCCGCTAGGTATGTAATTAGAATCGATTTGAGAATCGATTTAATCGCGATTATCGTTTCCCAAAATTCGATTAATCGAATATAATAGATTGATCCATTGAGTTAGGTGCTTGAGGACACCCTAAATAAATTATTCCGAAAAAATAAAAAATAGGGCAAATTAAAATTAAAAAAAAAATCTTAACCTATGATTATAAAAAAAAAAATTTTTTTAATTCGGGTATTTAAAAATTAAATATAAAAAAAAAGTTTTAAAATTAAAATAATTAATTAATAAATGAAAATTAAACAAAAAAAATTTGCGAATACCAAAAATAAAAAATAAAAAATACAAATTAAAATAGTCAAAATATTTAATTATATTTTAATAAAAAAAAAAATTAAATTAAATTTATCAATTCGATTTTATTAGAATCGACTAGCAATTCTACCTGGACTACCTGATCCCGCTCATGCTCTCCTACGAGCTTTAGACCCAACTTTAATAAGGAATTCATTGATAATTATATGGGAGAGAATGTTCCTTATAATTTATCAGAAGTAATGTTTATTTGTACTGCTAATGAAATTCGTTATTTACCAAATGAAGTGGAGATTGCCAAAAATTATATAACCCCTAATTATCTTAAAAATACAAGTTCTCTGCCCATAAAATAACTTTTCAGGAAGATGCAATTAGAAATATAATTAGCGATTATATTACTAAAAAAGGAGAAGGAGAGTCTGAGAACTAAGTCGACAGATTGATACTGTTTTTCGCAAGTTTTTGGTTAAGTTAGAAAAGGACCCTTTCCTTCGAGAGGAATTTACTCCCTCCAATTTACATGAATTTTTAAATAAGCGGGATTATGAACTTTTTCATCCCCAAGTAAATTCATGATACTGGACGGGCACATGACATTATCCTGACTGACAAATAATGAAATTTATGCAACGATCTTCATATCACTACCACAACAATCATCATCACCATTACAACCACAACAATCACAATCACGATCACAACCATCTTTTTGACATTGTTGCAGATCGATTAAGGAAAAAAAAATTTTTTTTTATTTCTATTTTTTCTTATGTAATTTTATTTTATTTTCTTCCTGCAATTCCTTCTTATTATTTTAAATTTACTTCATTAATTGTATTTTTATTTGTATTATATATTATTTTATTTTATTTTCACTTGATCTGAATAATATGATAATTCTTGAAAATCATAGAAAAGATGTTATGAAATTTCTTTTTTTGTATTTTTTATTTTTTTATTCTTTCAGAAATTATTCCTTATAATTTTAAATCCTTTTCGTAAATTGTATTATATATTATTTTATTTTCATTTTCGCCTGTTTTGAATAATATTTTTATTTATAATAATTTGTATATCTGTTAATCGATTTAAGCTGTGATCCTTTATAATCTTGATTTCGATACTATTCGTTATATTATTCAGCAATAGGATTGAAAAAGAAAACATTTATACAGAAATCATATTATTTAAAAAACAAACTTAATCTCAACACACCATATCCTAAATTCGATAATTATTGTACGCCCAAATTTTTTAAACAAAGAATTTAATTATGAACAACAAATATAATCTGTCTTATTTATTTCAGATCATATCTGCTTGACCAGTATGGCAGACGTAATTCTAGTAGTTATCTTAGTTTCAATGCAAATGAGTATTAGAAAACAATTATCTCTGATTATTTTAACTTGAATAGTCTCGATTAAATGGACGTATTGTATTTGCCAATATTGGGTGATAGTCTTTTCAATTTTGTAGACGTAACTATAATAAAAAAGTCTGTATCATAACCTAAAGGGTCATATCTTTGAGTTATTTTTGATAAAACAGATCGACTGAAATAATTCTATCAATGAGTGAAATAATAAATAATAAAAATAATAATAAAAAGAAAATTTTGTCACGCACCTGATTGTGTCACTATGACGAACTGACTGATTCAAATCTAAAAAAATTGCCCTAGAAAGATAAAAAAAATTAATTAAAAAAAGGAAAAAATAGGATTAGTAATCCCAATCAATGAAAAAAAGGATCAAGTCATATACACCTGACTGTGCTACTGCAATGAGCTAAAGAGATCCGTTCAAAATGCCACATCTGAAAGAGCAAAATCAATTATAACCTACAAAATTGAAAAAAAGTGATTATTAATTTTATAATTTTTTTTTTATATTTTTTTTAGTTTTTTTATTTTTATTTTATTTTTTTTTATATTTTTAGTTTCTATTTTTTTTTTTGTATTTCTATTTAGTTTTTATATACAGTGGTGTGCAAAAAAAATGACAATTTTTACTGCGGTAGATCGTCATTATGTAACTAGCCCAATTTTGG